GTTTCTGCCGAAATATGTGCAAACCTCATTAAGACTCTCGATATTTTTTTCAAGAGATTTTAAAAATAAAACAGCTCGTTTATTTTTAAAATCTCTTGGAAAAATATCTATATAACAGAACTTTAATATATTGTACCTTATTGTGCAGGCTTAGGATAACACCAAAATAACTTATTGTTTTATTCATTACAAAAGAACACTATCTGAGGTAACGACCTTTTTCTTCACGGTATATTTTGTATGCGTATAACGTATGATCGCCAAACACAAGGTAATTTTTTCCAACATTTTTAATCACATGAAAACTAATAAACGACCCTCTTCCCTGGCACATTATTCTAGCTGCTGCTGTTTAATTATGCTCCTAGCCACATCAGGGCGCTGCATGTTGCCGTCACCTGCAAGAAGCAGAAAAGCTTTTGGACAACAGCGAGTTGAGGGGGCAGCGGTGAATTACTGTCAGCTTAATTGATGTGCCAGTTCAGTGTGCCATAAAGTAAATGAACATCTTGTGCAGAACTGCCATTAGAACAATACCTCCTAACAATCTGATATTGGCTATTACTAGCAAAAAATAAGGCAATTCGATACTGGTAATTGGTTGACTTTGGAAGATGTAGAAGAAGAGGCAACAGAAGTTATATATATGTGTGTGTGTGTGTAGGGGGTAGGCTATAGCTCTAAAAGAGCAGGAATCTAAACGGTGAACCGTTGACCACTAATGATTCTAGAAAACATTTAAAAGTTCGAAATGAGCCCCATCAATCAAGGCCTGCCGTATCGGAAAAAGAGACTTACTCAAGATTGTACATCGATCTCGAACTGAGGTAGAGATTTAAGATCTCGATCACGTGGGTCATTTTGAAAACAAGACAGTTAGTTTAGGTTTCGAAATTTTAATTCCAACAAAGATAGCGATTTTCTTACCCGTGAAATTGGTTGTATTGAGATAGTCGGTTGGGTCTTGTTAGTAACTAGGCACAGTTAATCTAGCTAAAAACTTCAGAATACGGATAATACAACGTGCGTGAGAAGAATGTAATTAAAAAGAACATGTTAAAAATACCCACTAGACCGTCCTTTATACCATCGACAAATCCATGTTGTTTAGTGTGTTAACTTACTATAGAAGAAAACTCACAGAGTATCTCATAAGTTGGGTTCTACACTGCTGAGAACTATACTGAGGTTTTCGTTGGTTCCAATGATAATAATTGGCGATTTCTTGACGTACTTGACGTTATTTAAGTTGCAGATAGAGCGTTCATTAACGTTTATTCTTTTGTTTATCCAATGAAGACTAGCATTTTTGTTATTTAGAACTTCTAGGAATAAGTTGCTTTAGAGATGAAAAGTTTGTTTTGTTTTGAATTTCGCGCAAAGCTACACAAAGGCTATCCGCGCTAGCCGCCTCTAATTTAGCAGTGAAAGACTAGAGGGAAGGCAGCTAGTTATCACCACCCACCGCCAACTCTTGGGCTACTATTTTACCAACGAATAGTAGGATTGATCGACACATTATAACGCTCCCACGGCTGAAAGGGCGAGCATGTTTGGTGGGACGGGGATTCAAACTCGCGACCCTCAGATTGCGATTCAAGCGACCTAACCATCTGGCCATGCCGGGCCAGAGATGAAAAGATCAAAAGTCAATATAGTTTAATTAATTCCACTCGGATGTCACAAACAGTAAACCAAATTGGGAAGAAGAATCTTTACCAGGAATCCACCCAGTTTGCTCCTAGTGTTTTTACTTGTTGGGTGCTTCATTGATCCCACCTGTAAGTACTCAGAAGACTTTATCTGGTGTAAATAACCCCATGTGACAAAATATTAATCTAAATCTAAACTGGTCTACGATATATCGAGGTATCTAACATGAAGTCATATGGAAAATAAGGAAACATTTACTTTTAAAATAGTTGTTTCAACTAAATTAGATGCTTTGAATTTTCCTCCTCTGATGATGGACGTGCATGTTTAGCCGTTCGAAACATGTAAGGTCAACTTACCATAATACTTGCATTAAAATCCTTCGTTGCACCAAATTTTGTAGCTTCTGCACAAGTAAATTACTTAATAAATATATATATATCATATACTTGGTAACTGAACACATTATCCTTAACGCGTTATTAAGAAATGCAGTATTGTTTACTTTCTGTATTATTTGCAAATGTGTATTTTCTAAGATATGTGTAGTTGGTTATCTGTAGGCGTATGATAATATATTTTATCGGTTGTTGTTTCAAGTAGAGCATATTTTCTGGCAAGTATAGCTGATAACTTTATAATAATATTTTTCTATCATGAACGTACAAACTATTTAAGTATTTCAGCTTGTATAATTTGTGTTTACACAGAAAGACGTGGGAAGCAAACATTAAAAAACAGTGTGCATTTAAGTTTGTTATCAGCACTACAGAACCATGAAGTGTTATCATTTTCCCAAAAGAAATTTATTCGTCAACTTGGTTACAGGCTTTTATCAGCCATGCAAGCCATTCTGCCAAATTATGCATTGCCATAAGGACAATACTGTGACAATACCTTATAATTAATAGGTTGTACTTATAGTTGAAAATTATAAAGCTCTGAGATTATTGATACTACAGTATCAATGTGCAACTATTGGAGCAATCGGATTGTACAATTTGTCACTTTTCTTGAAACATAATATACTTTTATCACATTTACTGTAAGATAAGAAAGCGTGATTCCAACAAACACACCCATTGTGGCTTATAAGGTGAAATTTTACATCTTCCAAGACGTAAATTTATAATAAGTAAGAGTTCACACTCCTGCTAAGTGTATAAAGATGCAAGTTTATAACAAATAAATGTTCACACTTCTAAATTCATAACAACTAATATTTCGCAATCCTACTAAGTGTGTAAAGGAGTAACTTTTTAACAAATAAAATTCATACTCCTGCTTTTATATTCATAATAAATAAACTTTCACACTCCTGCTAAGTATGAAAAGGTGTTAATTTATAACAAATAAATGTTCATACCTCTTCTAAATTTATAACAAATAATACTTTGCACTCCTACTAAGTGTGTAAAGGTGTAAATTTATAACAAATAATACTTTGCACTCCTACTAAGTGTGTAAAGGTGTAAATTCATAACAAATAATAGCTTACACTCCTTCTAAGTGTGTAAAGATGTGAATTTATAAACATAATACAAGGTCATGTAAGTGGTATATTAAATGAAATAAACAATCACTTAAATTAAAATAAATTTTAAGACAATTATAAAATTCTATTAACATAATTTTAGAAGACAACTTTATACATTTACAATTAAGCTTATTTGTGTAGAGTATGGCTTTTAAAAACATTACTATTTAATATTTCATGATTCTATTGTGGGTGTAAAATCATTTTTTTTCTGACGAAAGGTGTGAAGTCACACTTTTTGGGGTGTAGCTCCTGTATCAGTACTTCACAGCCTAAAACGTGTTAAACCACACCTGTTTTTATTGTGTAACTATAGTGGGTGTGATTGTGGACACGTTTTTCTAAAAATGAAAATTAAAGGCTCCATACCTACTTTTAATTCAAGAACAGTCTATCATTCAAAAAAGTTCTAAATTATATATATCTCCATTTTAGTAATGTCCTAAAACATTTACGTTAAACAGACGTTTATTAAGTTTTGTAGAAGACAGTTGATTAAGTTTACTAGTACATATATTTGTGTGCTTATATTTTAAGCATAGATATGTGTGTGTTTATATTTCAAGTACAGATATGTGTGTGTTTATATTTCAAGTAGAGATATGTGTGTATATGTTTATATTTCAAGTACAGATATTTGTATGTGTTATATCTACAAGTAGAGATATGTGTGTGTTTATATTTCAAGTACAAATATGTGTGTGTTTTATATTTTAAGTACAGATATTTGTATGTGTTATATCTACAAGTAGAGATATGTGTGTGTTTATATTTCAAGTACAAATATGTGTGTGTTTTATATTTTTAAGTACAGATATTTGTATGTGTTATATCTACAAGTAGAGATATGTGTGTGTTTATATTTCAAGTACAAATATGTGTGTGTGTTTATATTTCAAGTACAAATGTGTGTGTGTTTATATTTACAAGTACAGATATGTGTGTTTATATTTACAAGTATGGATATATATATATGTGTGTGTGTGTGTGCATCTTAATGTAACCCAACCCTAGTGAACGATAAACAGTAAGCGGTAAGTCTGAGGGGTTATAACGCTAAGCATTGGGTTTTCGACACCCTCGACATAGCTAGCCCATTCATTGTGTAGTCGTATGCTTAAGAACTAACAAAAAAGCAAAAAATATGTAGATCATGTATTAATACTAAAACAACAACAACTGACTTTACAGAAGTAACTAAAGTGGTATGTGCATACTCTATAGAAAGAAGTAGATTATCTATCTGTCTGACTGGAAAATTCAGTTTGATGCTCTTAAGTTACTCGATAAACTTTACAAATATTTGCGGTTTTGCCTAAAAGTGAAACAGTTTTTTACAGCTGTCTACTTATTCAAGATCATGTTAGTAAAAAAAAGACTGTCGGAATTCCTAAGAAGATATTTATAGATCTGGTAACGAGAATAAGAACTTGATGTTTGAAATGGCAGCCCCCTGTCGTGACTAGGATCGCTGTGAGCACGAACGCCTCGACCCCTACCGGCAGAGCTCGTCTTGTTTCCTTCAGTGGCTGTAGAAACTGCAGCTTTAACCGCGACAAACTCGTAAAATCCGACAGGTGAATATCAAGTATGTTTGACCTCTTTAAAGGTTACGTTCGGACTAGACAAGACCCGTTTGTACTGCTGTCATTATCGTGAGATGGCAGTTTACCGACTAGTGCAAGCACAGGTTTATCTCTTAGTTAATCAGTAATAATTCTAACGAAGGATTCCGCTTTCATTTTTTCTCTGTGTGTTTCTGTGGTTTGTTTTTGGATTCTGTTAATCTTTGCTCTTGTTTGTATTACAGGAGGCTCAGCGGGAGGATTATTTTATGATGCCAACATGTACAGTACTCCGTTGTCACTACTGCAGCTTCCATCTCAAGCCTTAGTAGACGTCACCCAGAAATTATCACAGCCTGGAAACAGCATTACTAGGTTTTCTCAGGATGGTAAGACCTTGGTTGACTTGAAAGGTTCTTCTCAAGATACTGACTTCCAACAAGTGGCTGAAATAGATATTGATGTTGGCTTTATGTGTAAGAACTGTCAAATGGTGTACCCTTCTGAAGTTCTTTGTCTCAATCATCAAAGGGCGACTTGCTTCGGCGCAGCCAAAGGGGACATTCAAGCTATATTGAGGCTCGTCCAAATTCATTTCGAATGTCGTGTCTGTTGCGAGCGATTTCTAACCATCTTAAATTTTAAGTTTCATTGCGACATGGACCACCACGTCAGACGAGTACAGAAACTTCAGCGAGGTGCTAGTTCCAGCTGTGACTTGGGAACTTCTATGAGCAATCAAATTTCTGCAGCTCAGAACATTACAACCCCAAATAATCACTTGCCTAACAACAACACTTCACAGATAATGCCGTCTACCTCTAGCTCTCCGATTCTGCCTGGTTTCTCCGTCGCTGCAGCCACCAACCAACACTGTTCTTTGACGTCATCGATATCCCAGAGTACAGGAATATCCACATCACGAGGGCGAAATGTTGGCCCACAACCTCTGCCTGACAAAAGAAAAGGTCTGCCGGAAATTGTTCCTTCTCTTCCATTTCCAGGAGTTCCGTCGGACTTCAGGCATGAGCTGGACTCTGCTCTAAGTTTCAGCATGGGATTCGAGGCAATGGTCATGCGAAACGGAATGGACTCCTCAACCTTTGATATAGCCGTTTCTGACCACATGTCTCCCACCTCGAAGCGAGGGATCTGTTTCTCAGGTGATCCGACACTAAGTCCAGAGGCCAAAAGGCTTTGATTTTCTTAAAATTTACTGGGCAATAATGTTCTTCTCAACCGTTCACTTTCAAATTAAGGTATCTTTTAAAATGAACAGAACATAGTATTTGCTTTTGTAATACTAGGTTTATCATTCAAGGATATGTAGGTTCTAAAACTTGAGTCATTTTTGTCAATGATATCTTACAATCGAAACTTTTAACGCGTCATTTGAACTTAAATTTTGAAATTCAATTGTCGTCAAATTAACATAAAAAGTTTTCGTTTTTTATTTCTTTATCATTGGTGTATAACATATACATGCTTTAATTCGTAGATAGACCTATGTGGCGTTTCCTACACACTCAGGTATTTGCTTAGTCAACTTACCAAGCAAGTCCAGTCATGTAAAAAAAAATCATTATTGTGGTTTGTATTGTCTGTATATTAATCTCATGTCGTAGAGCTTTGGAAGTAGATTCCATATCTTGGTCAATGAAGTAACAACCATCATGTCATCTACATGAAAAACATGAAAGATTACCATGGTCTAAGCACTCCTTAAACTTGTTTCAAATCTTCATTTTTGCAGATATATATCCATTCCCCAGTACCAAGACAGGTAACTGACTTTGAAGAACTTGAGTTGACTTTTTGTTGACAACCTTGATTAAAAGAAAAGGGAAAATAGCCAAGAGGCTTTACAAGTCCGTAATTTAGTTTGTATCGTATAGGAGGTAATTGGACGAAAGTCACAAAATTTATGAACCAAATCACATTGTGCACTACAAGATAATGTTCCTGACCGACATTCGCCCACAATCCTCATCTCCTAGGGCGAACCCGGGCTAATGAAAGTTCCTGTTTTTTTACATGTGAAACGACCTCGTGTAGGATAAAGAAAATTTTAGCGTTTTCTTGTTTCTCGTAAGATTGTTATCACCTTTTTGCACGTCATTGCATCCGAAAAGTAAATCACTGCAGAAACTCGGTAGACATACACACCTTTTACCTTTCTTTATACACAGATGCCAAGTCTGTGTAAGTATGTACAATGTGAATATCTGCAGAACCATTAAAATGTGGAGAAAACATTTAACGGTTTGGAAGAATTACTTATCATATTGCATGCTTTTATTTCTGGTGTGTGTGTGTGTGTGTGTGTGTGTGTGTGTATGTGTGAGAAATGTATTGGTAATGGGTTAGCTAATCACTTCAAACTTCAATCAATTGATGTAATGCTTATATAGTGAAAATACATAACTAGGAGAAGCGATTGAGGAAAAGTAGTTAGCTATTTCCTGTTAAGTTTAAGAACTTTAAAATAAAATAAAAGCGGCAGGAGAAAGATGCCTCACTGCCAAGTTGGAGTTTGATGAGTCCTAAGAAGTTAGGTTGCCGACAGATGGCGCCTACCCTAAATTGAGTCAGCCTATCAAATAATCGGGTTTGAAATATAACTTAAAAGCATCTGGATATTACTTGTGGTTGTAAATAATACAGTGAAGATGAACTGAGCTTTCTCAAAGAGTTTCTTGGTGGTGGTTAGGTAAATTACATCATACTTCAGCACCTAATGGAAACAAGGACTTATCTTCTTGTAGATGAATGGAGTTAGAGATTACGTCTATACCTTGACAATACTATATATTTTTGGAGGTGTTGGGTTTCGTGTAGATGTAATATTTGAACTCTATGTCTTTGATTTTATATATGTGAATATTATATATGTGTACTCATTACAATACACACATACATGTACATCTGCTTTACTCGCCTTTACAAACAGGGGGGTGTGACCCAGTTCCTAATCTTTTTTCAGAATGAAATGCTAATGTGTACACGAACAGAAAGTTTTTGCACGAATAATTCTTACCTTGTATGTATTGATAAAGCTTTTCTCTTAATTTATTATTCTTATGTGCTTGATTTTAACTACACTTATTTCTTAAATGTGCTCTGAATTTGGGACATAAAATAAATGAAGTGAATCTGCAAGAAAAGTTCAAAGTGACCTGATGGCTCCCCCTACCGTATCTGATAAAAAATAAATTTAAATTTGTAAGCAAAAAGGTTTCAACTTTGAATTATTCTAATAGCTTTATCGAACTATAATAATATATAGTACCTTGATCTGTTTTGTAGATGATGTTATAAAGTTGAATATAAAATCAAAACGTTAAGTACAAATAAACAAATTTTGCAGTTCAAGAAGTTACATTTAAATTTCGTCAAATTGAATGGTTAGGCTGACTGTAAACAGTTTTGTTCCTTTAACTGTGATAATATTTCTTATCTGCAGGATGTGGAAAACTGTTGACCAGTACGAGAGGGGTGGCCTTCAGGTTAATTAAAGATGGTGCTTGTTGCTTGGATACAAAGACATGGTGATTCTTTTTTTGACGTAAACTTTGTTTAGAAGTTTTGTAATCAATCACTTGAACTGTAGTTACACTCGTTGGCTAAGAGATGCCTAGCACTAAAGTTGTTACCAGTCAATAAAAAAGGGGTTAAGATGAAAAAAAAAATCTCACCAGATGGCTGTCGACTTGTATCCCAGCAGACAATGCGCTTTTTAGAGTAGGTAAAGATGGCTTCCTCGCATTGATTCGCTTCAGGGTTCATAGACGACAGCCATTTTGATAGAAATTTTTATTGTTCGTGTTTTGTTGAGGACTTGTTTTGGCTCTCCAAGTGTACAGTACTTTTCTATGGAAGGAAGAGACAAAGCAAGTATAGACAGGGCGCATTTAGCTCTGGTGTCCTGTTTGTATCTGTATAAGCGACGCCGAGCAATGCTCAAATGATGTATAAATACATGTAAGCCAGTATTGATAATGGTCTTGTTTATGCTGTTTCAATACTTTTTTTAGTGTCGTTTTAAAGGGAGTCTTGATGTATAAGGCATAAAGATGAACCAACTGTTTATTAGATGTACTATAATTGGATTTGAAGCTTTGAATAACGAAATATTGCAATACAACACTGCAACAAAAAAAATTAAAAAAGAAAAGAAATAAAATCCGTGATTTGATTTTAAAAGTGGGCAATGTTAGTTGAAATATTTAGGAAGGGATCAACATGTTTACCTCAGCAAAGAATTGAACGCCCCCTACTAAACATTAAAAAAACTCTCAGGTTGAAAGTTGAGGAAAAGCTAGGAAAATGTACTTCCGCGTTTTCTTCGTGCAGAACATACGAGATTGTTATGACTGGTGGACAAAGTGCTCTAAGCTCCTCCGTGAACTTGATCTGAACAAATTGGAAATAGTTTCTTGGCTTAAAAGAAAATTTCCCGTCAGCTGGGGTCCTTGCAGTTTGGAGACATTTTCCTCTACCTCAAACTAAATATGAAGTTCCTATGATATGCATGGACCCAGTTGTTTAGTTTGGTTGTAGTTTCGGTTTTCTTCAACACACTGACATTATGGTGGCATATTCGCTGTAATTCCCCACTCCCGTACATTGTACATGCCTATGTATTGAATTGTGTGTATAAAAATATCTTTCATCTGTGAAGTGTTTGTTTTCAAAACTGTTTGTTTTGCTGTCGGTAATATTAGTGGTAATCAATAGCTCGTATCTTGCTGTAAATTACTAATGGTAAAAAAGTCAATGTTCCTAGGTTACGGGTGCAACCAACTACGAAAGCACACAACTAGATTTCTTATTCGGTGTTTTACACACGTCGTCCTACTTCGAACTGTTCCTCACGATGACGTCACCTGGCGTCATCACTAGCCTGGTATATATACATATTTATACATAAATATATAAAACTGTCCCTTGATGTGCTTTGATGAGCAAGTTCCTTGGTAGGAATTAAGGCCCTCAAACATATTTTTGACAGATTTCATGAAAATAATAATAATAAATTCGTTTATTTAACTAAATTCAAGAGTAATTAATGTATATCAATATTTACCTGGTCTTGTTATTATATGTATAAGTTCAGGTATTTAAGTCTATGAAGATTGAACATCAGAATAAAACTCACAAACTTTGATTATGTTGCGTTTTATTGCTTTAGTAGTTGTAGATATTGTTTCATATATACATAACTGTGCAGGTCTATTTTTGGTATATTGGTTAAAAGTTCTAGGGTTTTACACATGGTGGCTTATGTAATCTGCTTCAAGCTGTAATAAACTGTCTAATGTGGTTATATCCAAATCGCTGTATGTCTTTTGATTTAGATATCACGTCTTTAGACAACATTACCAATTTAATATTCAGAATTTAATATTTCTTTCAATTAATTGTCATCAAACTGCTGACTCTTCCGAGAGGTAAATAAGCAACTTTAAAATATTACCTGTATGTTCATCCGATGCAGAGTTTGATATTAACGATCAAAGAGGTTTTACTATAACTAAACACAATATTGTATTTTTAGTAGATATTGTGTAGCTTATTTCAAACATCTATATCATGAGTCAAATGATTCCGTTAGCAATGGAAAGTTGCCTTATAGGTGTCTAACAAACGGAACTGCAGTGTATAAAAGTGTACAGAACAAATTAAAACGCTAACCAATGTGATCAACATTTCACTTTGAATGTGTTCTTTTGTTTCAAAAATGGCTATCATGTACTATGCTAAACCATGTGCTGCACTAACTGACTACTTTATTAAAATTCACACCACCATACAAACAGAGGTTTGTAGAACATTATATTTACAAAATAGTGACAGAAGACTGCTCTAGCCTTATAAATGCAGAGATAGAATCATATCTGGATTAATTTATAAAACAATCCATAAGCTCAGGGGCTATCCTACCATGCAAAAGTCCTTAGAAGATTGTCATAAGTTAACCGACAACTGAATCCAACGCTGCTGATCTCAGATCCAGACAGGAAAGTACAGCTTAAGTAGTGTTTAAAATGCTAATGCAGAATTTATGCAAAGAATCACTAGAATCATGTATTTTGGTCTGAATTTCGCCATTTTTTGCACTAACAGCAAAGTAAAGATAATGAAAAAGCCATGTGATGTATACTTGACCCAGATTGTATTATTCCAACAATAAAAGCTAGTGGATGTGGTATAATGATGAGAGGAGTTTCCTCCTAGCAGATGTTGAGATCCTCGATTACTTCAGGAGAGCGAACAGCATCCAGAGTACACTTGAATCTCATTGTCGACCATGTTAACAATGGTGCATTTCCGCCCTGCTGGACAAGGGTTGTTCTTCCAAAACAACAATGTAACAACCCTTAACTTAAGTACTGTTTGAAATCGGTTCGAAGAGCACAACAGTAACATTTTAAATCATTCTTGTCTAACAAAATCGCATGACCTCAAACTGATTGATTATTATCAAGTGAACTTGAAAGTCACATTCGCTGCCCTAGTTCTAAACTGTTGGCATGATGATGGTTTGTTTTGTTTGTTTTGAATTTCACGCAAAGCTACACGAGGGCTATGTGCGCTAGCCGTCCCTAATTTAGCAGTG